TGCATTATTGAAGAAATTCGAAAATATCCTTGAGTTTGTCGGTGTGTGTCTGTGCCTGGACTTCTCTCTCACTTCCATTTCAGCAACCACAAAAGCTGAGAAGCTGAAATCTTAAAAGGGTATTTCCAGTCATGTTTGGCTCTGAAAACTTAGGAATGACTTTTCCTTGCGCTTATATCTCATGCATGCAACTCTAAAAGCCAAAATTTAAGAAGCTTTGATGGGAAAAAATTTCGGAAACTAAAGTGTGATTTTGCGGGAAAGTTCTTTGTTTGAGTGCTACTCGAGGGGCTTAAAAATAGCTTTCGCACTTGTCTACATCTTACTCAAGTGGAAATTGAGGTTGAGACGCTGTTGACACTCTTTCAAATTGGTAACCAGGACGAGAATTTTGTAAGAATATTTGCTGCCTATGTGCGGGGACAATGGGTACAAAATGAGCTTTCGTACAAATCATTTCCTGTGCGTGAACACATCAAGATCCTACTTGCAAAATTGCTCGTTTCCTTTTCACGCTGTAATGAGACGTATTAGAAAGCTGAAATATACGAGTTCTCACACAGTGCATCATTGCTCTCCTTTCCAAACATGGTAGAAAAGGCTAGCGGGAACATTTCTAACATATATGCACTTATCATACTGTTAAGCAATGAAAGCTTCTACTGTTCCCGATATCATAAGTCTGCTGCGCGAAACCGTGCCAAGCACATGACCGCACCGAAATCCTGACGCAGCCAGGTCTTTATTCAACACACTGTGCTGAAAGCACTGAATCGCATTAACGAAACATAGTCACTGATTAAAGGAGAAAAGCGAACACTGGTCGTGACACGGCGAACGACGCGTGAGCGTTATTCTTGACCACATTAATAATCAAACACTCTATATAAACGGCTTACATGATATCGATGCGACCACGAAAGAGCTAGGCTCGAATGCACTAGGCTTGCCGATGAGATCATGTGTTTTTGCACCAGACTTGAATTGCTCAGGTCGCTAGCTGTATGAATGGTTAACACCTACCTTTTACGCTTAAAGCGTAAATCATAGCAAATTTTGCAAAAAGGGAACGAACAATTTCCGTCAGCGGTCGTTCCTTGAAAGTAACCTAGCTATTCAGTGAGCAATTTTCCCACCAAAACTTTTAAGTGCCCATACGTGAAAATCACGCATGTCCAAAGGCTGAATTTGAAATATCTGAGTTGTACTTGGACAGGGAAAGTCACCTTAAAATTTCAGTTTTCAAGTCTTTCTGGTTGCCGAGTCGGCTGTTTTTCCGCCAGATCCTTCATGTGCTGTTGCATGAGTACCACGCAAAACTGGGGTCTGAATTTAAAATCCTTCGCCTACACATGCACATTGAATATCCTTACAAAATTTCAGTCCCTTACCTTGTCCGGTTCCCGAAATCGCTTTCTCGCCAAAAAATTTGCATATTTCCTTACGACGTCCGTATACGGCACCCAGGCATACGCGAGGGATGATATTAAAACAAGGGGGAAGGAGGGTTGTCGCGCATGTTGTGGGCACATACTCCCGAAGTTTCAGTCTTCTAGCTTTTCTGGTTCCCGAGTTGAAAGTGGGTGACAAAAAGTGCGAACATACAGACACACACAACCCTTGCCAGTGTGCATTTTTGCAATCCGCATATATGCAAAAGCGCATAAAAAAATAAAACCCAGCATATGGAACATATTGATAGATTTGCTAGTAAATGAAAGATATCATGTAACAACTCCAGTTCACGTCACTAGGCGCGTATTCGGCTTGAGCCATTTTCATCTCTGTCCTCGATACACCAGATGTTACGAATAAATTATGTTTGTTCCCACTAACGTTGTTCTTCCTGTCAATTCTGTAATTACCAATTTACCTTTTTATGTCCTTTCCTCCTTATCCAACTCTTTATTGGAAATTCGCATAGCTGTTGAAGACATGGTCGATTCAAACCGGGCAATGAACTCTTGAACTTACTCTTCGCTGCTGACCATGGTAAGAGTATGGACTTAAATTATTTTGGAAGGTTTTTAGAAGCACGAAGAGCACACCGACTGGCGGGTGAAACAAACTAGAGACACTTGCGAAGGCTGTCTCTTACTTATAGTAAACCCAGCATGGCCGACATTCATCTG